GTAATTCTTAGAACTGGCCAGGAAACTGCATCCAAATATTTTTTTTTCCCCTCCTGAAAGGTAAAATTCCCAACAAATTAGGTCTCCATTGGTCCTTTGGACGGATTTTGAGAATGGAAAGTGAGTTGTTAAAACCTGAAAAAAAAGATTTCTGGACAAAAATCTTTGGACATTTGAAATTAAAGATGTCCAAAGTCAGCAGCCCTGGTTCTTGTGAGATTCCCTGAGTTATTCCCATGGAAGATCAATGAGAATATGTGAGGGATAATATCCTTTTTTAATATTTATTTTCAGGTATCTCCTAATCTCTGGGTCCTAAAGAGTTTTTTGGTGTGAGCTGATGTTTCTCCAAATACCTTCTTTCAGAAATAAGTTGCTTGAAGGTTATTTTGGTCAGATTTGGAGGCATTTAAAAAAAATCTCAGAGAAATAACCACAGTTTGTCTGAACAACCCATCTCTCTATTAATTATTTTCAAAAGTGCAATAAAGTTTTTTAGATGAAAGAGTGGGTTTTTTTCTTCTAATTTTTAATTTCAGGAGCATAAATGTCCTCGAAGAAGTGAGCCATTCCATACCCTTCCATCATAAAAGGAGAATTGGGGGTTTTTAGAACAATTTAGGCTCTCTGGGCTTCACTAATTGATCCCAAGGCCTTAAGGGGCCACAGAGGACGAGTGGATTGGTTATTCCAGACCTACAAAACTCCACCTTGTACCTCTCCCTTCACTCCTACCCTTGGTGTGGCTGATGTCTCACTCTAAGCTGGGATGAATTCCACACATGGATCTTCCAGGATAACCAAATTAAAGCATAATAACACTGAAGAAATCCATGAACACACCACAAAAACAACATCTTCCATCACTGTCCTGAATCATTGAGATATCCCAGCATTGTCAAGCTTGGACTCAGCTTCTACTTTATCCTGAATTATTCCTTTGGGGTTTGGTGTTTCTTTCCTTATTTTTTTTTTTTCATTTTTTAATTATTTTTATTTTTTTATTTCATTTTTTATTTTTATTTTAATTTTTTGTGGTTTTTTTTATTTTTTTTATTTTTTTTATTTTATTTATTTTTTATTTTTTATTTTATTTTTATTTTATTTTTTATTTTTTGGAATGGGAATGCATATTATCCACAGAGGATCACTGTAAACAAAACCCCGGGATAAGGATTGGGAATCACCTCTCCGTAGGGATGCAGCTCCACGACGATCCAGGTGGGCTTGTCCTCGGCGATGCCGATGAGCTTCACGATGTGGGGGTGGTCCAGCTTCTTCAGCAGCACTGGGAGAAGGGGAGAAACCTTGGGATGAGCTTCCGGGGCTCCCAGTCCCTATCCAAGGGGTGGGGGATGGAGATGGAGCAGGAGGAATTTCCTTGGATGGCCCTCTCCTGGTTTTTTGGGATCTGCGTCCTGGTGGTGCCTGTTTGTTCCCGCCCAGGGATTCCACAGCTTCCCAGTGTCCCTGGGTGATTCCCAATCCCCATCCTGGGGTGATTCCCAATCCCTATCCATGGGTGATCCCCAATCCCCACCCCAGGGTGATCCCCAATCCCTATCCATGGGTGATCCCCAATCCCAATTCCAGACTGATTCCCAATCCCCATCCCAGGGTGATCCCCAATCCCTATCCATGCATGATCCCCAATCCCAATTCCAGACTGATCCCCCATCCCCATCCTGGGGTGATTCCCAATCCCCATCCCGGGGTGATTCCCAATCCCCATCCCAGGGTGATCCCCAATCCCCATCCCAGGGTGATCCCCAATCCCTATCCATGGGTGATCCCCAATCCCAATTCCAGACTGATCCCCCATCCCCATCCTGGGGTGATCCCCAATCCCCATCCCGGGGTGATCCCCAATCCCTATCCGTGGGTGATCCCCAATCTCAATTCCAGATTGATCTCCAATCCCCATCCTGGGGTGGTTCCCAATCCCCATCCCAAGGTGATTCCCAATCCTTATCCCTGGGGGCTGGAGACAGAGCAGGAGGAATTTCCCAGGATGTCCCCCAAGGAGGTTGGTGGGGAGACACTCAGGGATCACAACCATCCATGGGGCACTTCAGGGGTCCCCCCAACATCTGGCCCATCTATCTCAGACTTCCCAGCCCGTTTTGAAGCACCTCGATGCAGCTCCAGCTCCGTCAATCCGAGCTTTGCCGAGCACTTGCACTGTTGATTCAGCTGCTCGGGGTATCCGGTCATTTGGGCTCAGGATTTGGAGGCAGATGGTCCTAATTTGGGGCCAAATCACTCCCTTCTGGGCTGTTGGCACAGAAAGCCCCACCAGCCCAGTTGGCCATCTGGGTCGAGACAGACCTCCGACCCTTTTTCTGGCACTGTCTGGGAATTGTAAACTGAATTTGTTGGCAGCCAGGGGAGTTTCTGGGCTTTTTTTTTCCCCCTGACAGATGTCCAAAGGAACCATGAGCTGATGTTTCACTTGCTGCCTGGGGTTGCTCTGCATCTGTTTCAAGACCTTGCAAAGTCCTCAGGGATGTGGAGATGGTTCTCCCTCAGTAAGCAAAGCCTGGGAGGGAAAATTGAGGGTTTCAAGGGCCCAGAGAGTGGTGGGGATGGAGCTGCATCCAACTGGGATCCGGTCATTGGTGGTGTCCCCAGGGATCAGTGCTGGGCCCGGTCTTGTTTAGTATCTTTATTGATGATTTAGATGAGGGTATTGAGTCCATCATCAGCAAATGTGCAGGTGACACCAAGCTGGGGGGGAGTGTGGATCAGCTGGAGGGCAGGAGGGCTCTGCAGAGGGACCTGGCCAGGTTGGATCCATGGGCTGATTCCAAGGGGATGAGGGTCAAGCAGGCCAAGGGCCGGGTCCTGCCCTTTGGCCACAACAACCCCCGGCAGCTCCAGGCTGGGCCAGAGGGGCTGGAGAGCAGCCAGGCAGGAAGGGAGCTGGGAGTGGGGATGGCCAGGGAGCTGAACAGGAGCCCGAGTGTGCCCAGGGGGACAAGAGGGCCAATGGATCCTGGCCTGGCTCAGGAACAGGGTGGCCAACAGGGCCAGGGAAGGGATTCTGCCCCTGGACTCAGCGCTGGGGAGGCCACCCCTGGAGTGCTGGGTCCAGTTCTGGGCCCTCAGCTCAGGAAGGACATGGAGGGGCTGGAGCAGGGGCAGAGGAGAGCAACAAGGCTGGGGAAGGGACTGGAGCACAATTCCCATGAGGAGAGGCTGAGGGAGCTGGGGGGGCTCAGCCTGGAGAAGAGGGGAGACCTCCTCACTCTCTGCAACTCCCTGACAGGAGGGGAGAGCCGGGGGGGTGTCGGGCTCTGCTCCCAGGAACCAGCAGCAAGACAAGAGGGTCTCAAGCTGTGCCAGGGCAGGGTTAGGTTGGAGATTAGAAAGAATTTCTTTGCAGAGAGGGTGCTCAGCCATTGGAATGGGCTGCCCAGGGAAGTGGGGGATTCTCCATCCCTGGAGGTTTTTAAGCTGAGACTGGATGTGGCATCAGTGCCATGGGCTGGGAACCACGGCAGGGTTGGATCAAGGGTTGGACTGGATGATCTCAGAGGTCCCTTCCAACCCAGCTGATTCTGTGATTCTCCTCCCTGCCTTCCATGAATTTTCCTTATCCTGAATCAGGAATTTTCCTTATCCTTCTGAATTTCCCTTATTCTTCTGAATTTTTCTTATTCTTCCTTTCCCCCCCCCCCTAATTTTAATTAACCCCATGCATTGATTTCAGTTGTTATCACTTCAGCAGATAAATCTGGCCCTAGAGATGGGGATACCCCTCCTTTACAGTTCCTTGGGCAAAGACCTCCCACACCTCTGAATTTCCAAACAGCCCTTCAAACTGAGCTCTACAGGTGAAGACCCACAAATATAGGATGTGAGCTAAGGAATGAAAGACAGGGAGGAAAAGTTGTGTCTCGAGAACCCCCCTTTTAAATTTAAAATCCTAAAATTTCAGCAAAGGTCCCAAAGAATTTTGTTTGTCTACTCTGTTGTGTTTAAGGACAAAGAAGCAAAGATTGTACAGGGGATTACTTGGGGAAGTGATAATGGCTAAAATCAATGCATGAGGTTAATTAAAATTAGGGAAAAGAAAGGATAAAGGAGGAAAATTCAGTTAGTGACCCACATGGAAGGCAGGGAGGAAAAAACCATCTTCCTTCTTTGTTGCCCCATACTAAAATTTCCTCTCTCTCAAAGAATGCAAATTATTCATGGAATCCTGGAATGGTTTGGGTTGGAAAAGACCTTCAAGATCATCTCATTCTACCCCCTGCCATGGGCAGGACATCTTCCACTATCCCAGGTTGCTCCAACCTGGCCTTGGGCTCTTCCAGGTATCCAGGGGCAGCCACAGCTTCTTTAGGCACCCTCCTTTAGTGCCTCTCCACCCTTATATTAAAGAATTTCATCCTAAAATCTAATCTAAATCTACCTAAATACATCTAAATATTCAGCTTAAATAAATCCATCTCAATATTCAACTTATATACATTATAATACACTATTTACATAATCAAAAACATAGAAAACCAATTGAATGGTTGTGATTTTATTTTTTCTCTTTTTTCCCCCCCTTTTTAAACAGAACCACGCCGATTTCTTTTCCCCCAGACTGGGATAAGAGAACATTCTACTCAGCTCTGGAATGAAATCCCCCCCCAAAAAAAAGCTCCTGAGATGACAACCATCAGAGCCCAGCATGACTAAATCCCATTCACCTGCCATAACATTATCCATCAGGAATCCAACGGAGGCACGAGCGGCCCCCACCCAGTGCTCTCAGCCAACCCCTAATCCGGGGAAAATGAAGGCTGGTAACGTGTGTGGGAAAACATTTCGTGGCCAGTTTGGATCCCGAAATATTTTGCTACGGTCCCTGAGCCTTCCAACGAAATCATTACTCACTTTTCCCACTCATAATTCCTGACCGGGGGCTATTGTCTTGTGTTTGTGACATCACGGCCCCGTTGCCTTGGCAACGGTGATGATGTCAAAGGGGGAGAATTAGCACCTCTTAATACGAGCAGGCACCCAGAAGAGATGAAAAATGAGCTCAGGGCCTGGGTTAGACACAAATTACCAGGAATTTTTTTTTTTTTTTTTGGACAGGAAAATTCCTTGAAAGGTAAATGAGGCTTAGATTTAAATACGATGTTTTCGTTGCGCTTGGACGGTGGACAAAAGTCGATATTTGAGTCATAAAGCTCCAAAGAGTGGGGTGAGAACAGCTGTGGGTTCGGGGAAAGGTTTTTTTCCATGCAAATGAGCCAGAGGTTACGACTTTATTTGCAGATGACACCAAGCTGGGGGGGAGTGTCCATCAGCTGGAGGGCAGGAGGGCTCTGCAGAGGGACCTGGCCAGGCTGGATCCAGGGGCTGATTCCAAGGGGATGAGGTTCAAGCAGGCCAAGGGCCGGGTCCTGCCCTTTGGCCACAACAACCCCCGGCAGCTCCAGGCTGGGCCAGAGGGGCTGGAGAGCAGCCAGGCAGGAAGGGAGCTGGGAGTGGGGATGGCCAGGGAGCTGAACAGGAGCCCGAGTGTGCCCAGGGGGACAAGAGGGCCAATGGATCCTGGCCTGGCTCAGGAACAGGGTGGCCAACAGGGCCAGGGAAGGGATTCTGCCCCTGGACTCAGTGCTGGGGAGGCCACCCCTGGAGTGCTGTGTCCAGTTCTGGGCCCTCAGCTCAGGAAGGACATGGAGGGGCTGGAGCAGGGCCAGGGAAGAGCAACGAGGCTGGGGAAGGGACTGGAGCCCAAGTGCTGTGAGGAGAGGCTGAGGGAGCTGGGGGGGCTCAGCCTGGAGAAGAGGAGGCTCAGGGGAGACCTCCTCACTCTCTGCAACTCCCTGACAGGAGGGGGGAGCCGGGGGGGGTCGGGCTCTTTTCCCAGGAACCAGCAGTAGGACAAGAGGGTCTCAAGCTGTGCCAGAGCAGGTTTAGGTTGGATATTGGGAAGAAATATTTTCCAGAGAGGGTGCTCAGCCATTGGAATGGGCTGCCCAGGGAAGTGGGGGATTCTCCATCCCTGGAGGTTTTTAAGATCAGACTGGATGTGGCATCAGTGCCCTGGGCTGGGAACCACGGCGGGGTTGGATCAAGGGTTGGACTTGATGATCTTGGAGGTCCCTTCCAACCCAGCTGAGTCTCTGATTCTATGATTTTGAATGCTAAAAGGGTAAAAGGGTGTGCTCTAGAACCCAACATTCAACTCTGAAGTTCTGGGTGTGAGAGAGCAGGGGTTCCACAGGGTGTTGATTATACCCAACCCCACTTTCCTCTGAGATGTCCTTCCACCCACTCCTGCTCTTTGTTTCATGGTCGACATTATTATTTTCTACTCTTTTTTTCAGCCTCAAACCTTCTCCTTTTGAATTTGTCTGATTTACCAGCATCATCCTGCCCCCACCCACTGACCAAGAGGAATAAAACAGCTGCTGAAATATCGAATTTTAGGAGAAGAGTTGAACACATCTCTGGTCTAGAATAAGGAGAAATATAAATATTGCCTTTTTCTTTGTCCTGTTTGTTTTCCCCAAGACAAAAATGAGTACTGAGGATAGATTTAGATGAGATATTGGGAAGGAATTCTTGGCTGGAATGGTGGGGAGGCCCTGGCACAGGTTGCCCAGAGAAGCTGTGGCTGCCCCTGGATCCCTGGAATTCCAAGGCCAGGTTGGAGCAACCTGGGTTAGTGGAAGGTGTCCCTGCCCATGGCAGGGGGTGGGAATTGGATGATCTTTAAGGTCCCTTCCAATTCAAACCATTCCACAATTCTATGATCCAATGGGGTTCAAATTGTCAAATTAATTTTTAACAGCAACTTGCATTTGCACCCCCAGCCTTGGATATCTTGCTCTTTTGTAGCCTGATTTGGGATCAGGAGAACTTTTCCACAGGTAAAAAACTGGGAAGGAAAGAGTCCTGATTGGGAAAAAGGCATTTCTTTCCTCTGAGAAGTGGTGATGGTGCCTTTACAAAGCACTCCTGGACAATTCTTGCTGACCCACGTCCCTCTTACAAACAGGTCTTATTCCCACCTTGAGTCACTTGGTTTTCCCTTCTTTGGTAATGTTCATCCTTAAGTTTTCTGAGCCCGGGAAGGTTTCCATGCCCATGGCAGGGAGGTGGGAACTGGATGATTTTTAAGATCCCTTCTAAACCAATCCATTCTGAGATTCCACGATTCATCCCCAAACTGAAGTGTTTGAACCAGGATTTCGGTCACCTCCAGGGGCTCATTCTGCTCATCCACCACGGTTTGTGCGAGGATAAATAAGGCCCACAAATCCCAGCCCTGATAACTGGAATTCTTTGGGTTTAGGGCAGGGTATTTGATGAAATGTGGCAGCTGATTTCACCCGAGGAGAAGCACTTGAGCACTGAGCCACCTCCTCTGACCTGCAGCTCCATGAAACTCTGAAACAACTTCTCCCCTGGGCAATCACTTCTCCACTTGTCACCCTCTGCTTGCTGTCACCCTTCCCCCCCCCCCCGTCCTCAATCTGGGTTATTTCTTGGCATTTATTGGGATATTTTTCTACTGATTAATTAAAAAAAAAAAAAAGGTGACTTATTGTACATTTTTTTTAATAAAAATGAATAATAATCATTTCAATAATAGCGAATAATGATGTTTTCATATAATAACGAAATAACAGTAATGTGAACTTTTCTATTTTGAAAGCTTTCGAAGCTTTGTCTTCTTCCTTCTTTCCTTCTTTTTTTCCTTCTTTCTGTTTTTAAAAATGAAACTCTAACAGCATTTTGCATGGAAAAACAAAAGAAAAGGAAAAATCCCCGGCCAACTCTCCTCATTCAGTTGTAATCTGTGGCTTTGAGGTGGGATTTTAAGTTGAAGCTGCCAAATCTTCCCGCCCTCCTCCGGCACCAGAGAGGATCCACAATCTCCCGGAGTTCCTGATGGCAGGAACAGCCTGTCCCAAGCACCTTCCCTCTGCTGAGTGTTTTCCCAGAGCCAGCAGGGCCTCCCACTCCACGTCCTGGCAGGTGATTTGTGACACCAGGAGGGTGGCAGCCAAGCTTGGAGGGTGCTGTCAGTGCAGAGGGATGTGCTGGGACACTCGGCTCCTGGGGATTCCTGGAAGGTGGAAAACTCCATGTTTGCACTCCCTGCTCTTGACATGAGGATCAGCCACTGTGGGATCTGCCACCAGACCCCACGGATTCGGTGTGGAGCCGCTGTGGCTTCCCCGGGGAGATAGGAGTGACCCGGCGTGTCCTCAGCTTGTCACCCTCCATCCCGAAAATCCTGAGGAGAAACAGCTGCCCCGTGACAGGATTCACAGCTTCCCAAATTACTTGTCCTGCTTAATTAGGTGTTTATGGACACAGGCTACAGCTTCCTGAGGAGGGGCAGGGACTGAGCTCTGCTCTGGGGGGACCAGGGACAGCACCCAGGGAAGGGCTGGAGCTGTGTCAGGGCAGGCTCAGGTTGGATCTCAGCAAAAGGTTCTTCCCCCAGAGGGTGGTGGGCACTGCCCAGGCTCCCCAGGGCAGTGGGCACAGCCCCAAGGCTGCCAGAGCTCCAGGAGGGTTTGGCTGATCCTCTGGGGCACAGGGGGTGACCCTTGGGGATGTTCCTGTGCAGGGCTGAGGGTTGGACTGGATGATCCTTGTGGGTCCCTTCCAACACAGCATAGTCCGTGATATTTGTTTTAAACACATCTCTTTTTTCCATCTAGAAATCATCTAAAACACATCTATTGATCTTCCAAAGGTGCTGGAAGATGTCCCAGTGCTTCCTACGTAGAGCAGAATGATTTAAAAACTCACCTAAGTCGTGCTTGTTCATAATTGATGTTTTTCCCTAAGAGACCCCACATATATTGCTTTATAAACATATATATAAATACATATATATAAATATGTATATGTATAAATATAAAGCATGTCACAAACACTCCATACTTATAAATATATATATAAATAAAAGTAGAGAGCATGTCACAAACACTCCATATTTATAAATATATATATAAATAAAAATATAGAGCATGTCACAAACACTCCATATTTATATTTATATATATATATATATAAAAACATAAAGCATGTCACAGACACTGCCACCTGCCCCCACGTGACTCAGGGCAGCCAAACCTGCCCAGACATTTCAAAGGTCTCTCCTGCTTTGATCACCTGCCATTTTAACCAGGGAAAGGCAGTGCTGGTTTTATCCTGTTTTCCAGCTGAGCTGAGCCCAGGGCCGGCCTTGGATAAGTGTCTGAAGGAATGAAGGAAACCCAAGTGCCTTCTTTGAACTGCTGCATTCCTACACCAGCCTGGCTCACCCGAGATCATCACCTTAGACCTGGCTTGACCTTCTCAGGAGCTTTCACCACTAAGCTGACCTTCAACAAGCTCCAGTGAAGTTGTGGGGCTGTTTGGAGGCAAGACACAAAAAACTGATGTTTGAATAAGGAGAAGTACCCCCTGCACAAGGTCCTGTTTGCTTGCAAGAAGTCTCAGCAGCTCACCTGGCACTGGTGGCACCCAGAAATCATAGAATCAGAGAATCAGAGAATCAGAGAATCAGAGATTCAGCTGGGTTGGAAGGGACCTCCGAGATCATCCAGTCCAACCCTTGATCCAACCCCGCTGTGGTTCCCAACCCATGGCACTGATGCCACATCCAGTCTCAGCTTAAAAACCTCCAGGGATGGAGAATCCCCCACTTCCCTGGGCAGCCCATTCCAATGGCTGAGCACCCTCTCTGCAAAGAAATTCTTCCTAATGTCCAACCTAACCCTCCCCTGGCACAGCTGCAGACCCAGCCCTCTTGTCTTGCTGATGGTTGCCTGGGAAAAGAGACCAACCCCCCCCGGCTCCCCCCTCCTGGCAGGGAGTTGCAGAGAGTGAGGAGGTCTCCCCTGAGCCTCCTCTTCTCCAGGCTGAGCCCCCCCAGCTCCCTCAGCCTCTCCTCCCAGCACTTGTGCTCCAGTCCCTTCCCCAGCCTCGTTGCTCTCCTCTGGCCCTGCTCCAGCCCCTCCAGGGCCTTCCTGAGCTGAGGGCCCAGAACTGGACACAGCACTCCAGGGGTGGCCTCCCCAGCGCTGAGTCCAGGGGCAGAATCACTTCCTTGGCCCTGTTGGCCACCCTGTTCCTGAGCCAGGCCAGGATCCATTGGCCCTCTTGTCCCCCTGGGCACACTCGGGCTCCTGTTCAGCTCCCTGGCCATCCCCACTCCCAGCTCCCTTCCTGCCTGGCTGCTCTCCAGCCCCTCTGGCCCAGCCTGGAGCTGCCGGGGGTTGTTGTGGCCAAATGACGGGGCACGAGGGGCACCGAAGCAAAGAGCAGCAGCCTGAAGGCCTGGGCTGATCCCAGGGCTCGTGTTTTTATGAAAGGCTTCCTACCTTGGATGCTGGGAGCACGCTGGTGACTCACTGTGAACGTGGGGAGCCAGAAGTCCCCACCTCCCCATCCCTCATTTATCACATCCCTGCCCTCCTCGCTGTCTGCACCGGCGTCATCGCCGCCGCTCGGGCCGGGGAGCCAAAACTGCTCCACAGGAGACAGGAATGGTGAAAAGAGCAATATTTTGGCTCGTGTTGCCCCGTATCTACAGCTGATCTTGCGTTTAACACCAGCCCAGACGGTCATAACCAACCCCCCCAGCTCCAAAATATTCCCTGAATGCACCACAGGGAAAATATTCATCCTTCTTTGCCTCTATAAATATACAGGTAGAGATGAATATGTGCACACACGTGGATTTTCAAGTGTGCACACCCACACATGTATTTTATAACCCTTCACCCAGGTATCCATAAATCACCATCCTCTTGCATGTAAATTTTCCCCAGAGTTCAGCTGCAGATTGTCATTGATAAAATATGAACTAATGCTCAGAACATCCCCGTGTGTTTAAGGTGGAATTTCATCTCAGTCAGGAGGAATTTCATTTCGCCCGCTAAAAGTAAAAAAATGTTAAGCCTGGACTAGTTTTCTGGGTTTCTTTACAGCCAACAAAAAGAGGCAGGCACATCCAGAGGACAATTTGGCCGATCTGTTTTAGGATTTATTGGGTAGATATGGATGTCATGTGGGAAGCAGGGCTGTTAGAGAGGGAGGGGAGATGGATTGGGAATGGCCAGACTGGAATTTAGGTGCTGGTTCAGAGCCTGAGTCGAGCTGTCTTCACTTCTGGTGTCTTCCTGTGAGCTAAGTGTGAAAATTCTCATTGTAATCATTGGAGAACCACTCAGGTGGACCCGAAACGAGCCTAAAATAGACACCTACCAGCTGATGACTTGAATTTTGTCCTCACGTCACAGCAATTCAACTTATTACAGGCAAGAGGATGTTCTCCAAGCACACAGCTGGGGTGGAGACCATGGAGTAACCCAGACAGGGCTCCCAAACAGGACCTTTGGCAGACCTGCATCTTTCTGGAGTGGAGCTGGAGGGTCAGGGCACAATAAAATATTTAAAATATTTCAATATTAAATCCTAAATGCTAAAACAGCCTCAGAATTCCAAGGCCTGTGTGTGA